AGATAGGAATTACAGATGTGTTCACTGTTCCGGGTGACTTCAACCTCAGCCTTCTCGACGGTCTTATAGCCGAGCCGGAGCTCAACCTCATCGGTTGCTGCAATGAGCTGAATGCAGGCTATGCCGCCGATGGCTACGCCAGGTCCCGTGGCGTGAGCGCTTGCGTTGTCACTTTTACTGTGGGTGGCCTTAGTGTTATTAATGCCATTGCTGGGGCTTACAGTGAAAATCTCGCTGTTATTTGCATTGTTGGTGGTCCTAATTCGAATGATTATGGCAGTAACCGAATTCTCCACCACACCATTGGATTGGCTGACTTCAGCCAAGAGCTCAGATGCTTCCAAACTGTTACTTGCCACCAGGTTAGCCATGCCTTACGACAAATCATTCATGCATATTCAAACTAACATTCAAACACAAAATGATATCCATTGATGTTACGAATGCATAATCTCTAAATGTAGAGGTTCGAGATCTCCTCTCCAAATACTCAATATATATAAGTTTCTAGCCCAAGGACAGTTTTGATTTAGTGGGAAATGAGATCAACTTGTACCCAAAAAATTCCTATAAAAATCATCACCAGAAAAGAAGTTAAATAAAATCCTTATTTTCTGTTTTTTATTATTTATATTTTACATTAGAGGGAATGGATGTCTGGTCCTTTAAACCCAAAGTGACTTACCTATTAAATTTTGTAAGTATACAGCTAACCAGACCCACAACACCCACTCACTTAGCTTTGGACATGAAACCTCTAAGACCCCTCCACAACTGAAATGTATCAACAAACATTTTCCACTTAGTTTTGGTGTTTTTCTAACATTTGATAACTATACAACCGAGTAGACAACACATATTAGGTGACGTGGGAGCACGTGTGGCCGTTGGGCCTAACACGTGAAGCCTTGCTCTAATATCATGAAGGAAGTTAAGGTTCCACCCCAAAACCAATTGGCAATGCTGGGAGTAACTCAACTCCTTATAAGTCCTTGCAAGATTTTCAAACTTTCCAATGTGGGGCTTTTTACCTTCACATTCTCACACGCCCCTGCACGTGTGGCGAAATTTCAAGCCTAACACATATAGGGTGACGTGAAGCACGTGTGGCAGTTAGGCTTTTCACACATAGGCAACCCACTCTAATACCATGAAGAAAGTTGAGGTTCCACCTCAAAACCAATTGGCCATGAGGGGAGTAGCCCAACTCCTTATAAACCCAGACTAGATCCCTTAACTTTTCAATGTGAGACAAATACTCTCAACACATAGGCCACGGTATTCACTTTCATGACTTAAGACCACAGACTTTCCTTTTGTTGTATGAGTCTCCCTCGTTAGGATAGCTTGGTTCATGAGAGAGTTTTTAATCTTACGTCCACAAGTCCAGGCTAGAGTTCAAGTTATGTTAAAGCGTATTCTTGTGTCTTTTCTACTTTAGGTAATATATATGGAGTTCATGCCCAATAATAAAATAACCCGTCTTAAACAGAACAAATAAGATCAAATATCCTAACATAACCTATTACTGTGGTATATTGAAGGGATCATTCCTCAATGCAGCTTTAGGCATATTATTAGTTACTTATGCAGCTGTTCCTCCCAAAATAGTTCTCATGATGCTTGAACTGTTTCTATACTAATTTCTGTTGATGAAGAATGTATAATTGAGTGGTTCCAATACTAATATAAGAGCTAGACCCCTTTTATAAACCCCGTACCCCCTGAGTGTGCATGTTGTTAAGTTGGAGACAGTAGGTTGGACCAATTAGTAGCGGACAACTCATCCGTCTGTTTCTAGTCTTAAAAATTTATTTTGCTAAGAATTTCGCTCTGGTGTAAGAAGGAAATTAAAGAGCGTGTGGAAGTAATTGATTTTTGTATTTTTGGTACCCTGATTCCGGACTCTCATCTCTCAATTTCTGATATAATAACATGCACCCTGTTATTTATTTAGGCTGTTGTGAAGGACTTGGAAGATGCACAGTTGCAGATAGATGAAGCTATTGCAGTTGCTTTGAAAGAAAGCAAGCCTGTTTACATCTGCATAAGCTGTAACTTACCAGATATTCCTCATCCATCCTTTCCTCAAGAGCCTGCTCCATTCTTCTTAACTCCCAAGTAATTTTTCTGACTTCTTTAGACAGTAAATTATTCAAGGTATTCAAATACTAAATATTAGTACTTTAACCTATTATTATTGTTTTTCTTTTTCCTTTTTCAGACTGACTAACCAAGAAGGCCTGGAGATTGCAGTGGAGGCAACAGCAAAGTACTTGAACAAGGCTGTGAAACCAGTTATTGTTTCTGGGCCTCTTCTTAGAGTTGCAAAGGCCTGTAATTCCCTTATTGAGTTGGCAGATGCTTGTGGTTATGCCATGGCGGTCATGCCCTCAGCAAAAGGCCTTATACCAGAGAACCATCCAAATTTCATTGGGACTTACTGGGGTGTAGCAAGCACCCCTTTCTGCGCAGAAGTTGTCGAATCAGCTGACGCTTACCTCTTTGCCGGAGCTATATTTGACGAACTAAATACTGCCGGGTTTTCACTTCATGTCAAAATGCAGAAGGCGGTGATCATACAGTCTCAGAGTGTAGTTATTGCAAATGGACCAAGATTTGGGGGCATTCAAATGAGGGACGTTCTCAAAGCACTTGCAAGGCGGCTCGAGTACAATTCAACTGCTTACAAGAACTACAGCCGGATGCATGTCTCAGAGGGCCTTCCTTCTCAATGTGATCCCAAGGAGAATCTGAAAGTCAGCATTCTTTTCAAAAACATACAAAACATGTTGTCAAGTAACACCGCAGTGATTGCAGAAACAGGAGACTCGTGGTTTAATTGCCAGAAGCTGAAACTCCCACAAGGATGCGGGTAAGCAAATTGAATATGCATTGACTTGTTCTGCAATTAATTTAGAATATATAATGTGGAGATTGAAAATGGATCTGCAGTTATGAGTGTCAAATAAATTATGGATCGATCGGTTGGTCAGTTGGTGCAACTCTAGGATATGCACAGGCTGCATCCAATAAGAGACTAATTAGTTGTATTGGTGATGGGAGCTTCCAGGTATAATTATTCTAACTTGGTTTTCTTTAATTTTCAATAAAGCCCTTCTGTTTTTCTTCACTTTGTTACTAGACTAGATGCCATTGTACTCAAGCACATTATATATTTTACAGATGACGGCACAAGATGTGTCGACTATGCTGCGATGTGGACAACGAAATATCATATTTTTACTTAACAATGGCGGATACACGACAGAAGAACAGTTCCATGTTGGGCCTTACAATGTAATCAAGAACTGGAACTACGCTGCCTTGGTTGATGCTATTCACAATGGGGAAGGCAAGTGCTGGACCACCAAGGTGAGACATGACATGATAACTGCATTTTCTTAATTAAGTACTACTCAACTGGTAAATAGAAACAAGATCCTATAGGTTAAATTTCTTCAATTTATATTCTTTTAATTTTTAGTTCTATTTGTTTGTAGGTTCATTGTGAGGAGGAGCTTGTTGAAGCAATTAAGACGGTGACCGAGGAAAAAGAGGAATGCTTGTGTTTGATAGAGGTTGTTTTACACATGGATGACACAAGCAAGGAGCTAATTCAGTTTGCTTGTAGACTAACTGCCAGAGGCCGCCCACAAAAACCATGATTAAATTAACTTGCAACTATAACTACTTGAAAACTAAGCTTTCTTTTTCCCCCTTTGAAGAATTAAACTAATGAACTCGAGATGTAATCGGTTTGTTAATGATGATGCCCTGTGCTCTGGCTTATCTTCAAATTTTTTAAGATGGATTTATTTTGCAGCAGCAGGCAACATATTATATATGTTATAAGATATACATGTGTGTTATAAATCTTAGTTGGCAGGTGTTACCAGGAATATGCAATTAGCTTGCAATTGGAAGCAAGGGGAATTTAAGGGCTCTGACGGGTATGCAGGGCGGCCCTTTCCTATTATCTATGGTCTTTTTCTGCATATAATCCCCCTCTTCTAACTACAGGCTAGTGCATGGAAGTACTGTAGGCAGATAAGTCTAGGCCTGGCCCATGCGAAGGAGAGGAGGATTGTGGTTAAAATACGGGGAAGGAAGCCAACAAAAGGCCATAAAAACAGACAAGTTATAGCTCAATTGTGTGCACAAGTGTTGAAGTTCATAACCTATGACCCAATTATCTGTTTGCTTAAACATTTGTTTTTCAAAATTTTCAATTGATAACTGGTACCGTCTTCTTAAACATGTTCTTCGAAACCATACCATTCCAGAGTAAAGGAATGGGTCAACAATGAAGAGATGCAATGAGATTGTGGAAATCAGAGAAGGGGTATGCCATCAACAAATAAACATAGAAGAAGCAAACATCCTTTTGTAGACAGTTTTAGCACAAAAATCAACTAATCCCACGTCTGGATGTTTTTTCTTTCTTCTTCTTTGATCTTTTGAGGAGGGAAAACCGAACTTGAAACTTCTTCCAACAATTTGAAAGGGAAACACTACCACTAGACCAACAACAGTTGATTTCGCAATGTTGGGTTCGATATAGTTTGGGCCATTTGGTTTTCTTTCCACTTCTAGACTAATCTTATAACTATTTGGTTGGGGAAACAAAATTCAATTTCGGTTTTCCTATCTTATTAAAAACCCTGTATTTGTCATGCCCCAAGATTTATAAGCTAACAAATAGCGACAACCACCACACCTAATTAGTTTAGAAGTGGCACTAAATTATGCTTAGAGCCAAAGTCTCTTCACACCTAATTACCCGCCAAATCTCTTTTGAAAAAAGCCACACACACCTCAATCCCCACAACCCAAATCAATCCCCTTCTCTCTCCCGAAAGCTCTTATACCTCCTGAAACAATGTGTATCCACCAAAGAGTTGAAACAAATTCACACCCAAATGCTCATAAACTCCATACATAAACCCAACTTCCTCCTCCCCAAAATCATTGACCACAAAGACTTCTCCTATGCCTCCATGCTCTTCTCCCACATCCCGGAACCCAACGACTACGCTTTCAACGTCATGATCCGTGGCCTTACCACCACATGGCATAAATACCAACTTACTCTTGAATTCTATTACCAAATGAAGTCTTTGTGTCTGATGCCCAATAATTTTACGTACCCTTTTGTGTTCATTGCGTGCGCGAATTTGGTTGAGTTGAATCATGGGCGTGCAGCCCATTCGTCGGTGTTTAAGACTGGATTGGATAAGGATGGACATGTGACTCACTCTTTGATTACCATGTATGCTAGGTGTGGTAAATTGGGTTTTGCACGGAAGGTGTTTGATGAAATTTGTCAAAGGGACTTGGTTTCATGGAATTCGATGATTTCCGGGTATTCCAAAATGGGGTATGCGGGTGATGCTGTGCGGTTGTTTCAGGAAATGAGGGATGAGGGGTTTGAGCCTGATGAAATGAGCTTGGTGAGCATTCTTGGAGCGTGCGGGGACCTGGGTGATTTGAGTTTGGGGAGGTGGGTGGAGAGTTTTGTTGTTGAGAATAAGTTGGAGCTAAATTCATATGTTGGGTCTGCGTTAATTGGTATGTATGGAAAGTGTGGTGATTTGTCCTCGGCGAGGAGGGTCTTTGATAGTATGAAGAAAAAGGATCGAGTCACCTGGAATGCCATGATAACAGGGCAAGTAACTCTCCCTCATGTACAATCTTGTTTATATTTCTTGTTTACATTCCCTTGCTGCAGGCCTGCAAATTCAATTTGTGGATATGATGGGGTCAGAGCGCACAGGGGAGAATCGTGCTATCTGTGTTAAATAATTTGAATGTTAAGTTTTGATGGTTAAAAATTAAAAAGGGAATATAACATTTTACAGATTGAACAAGGCTGAGGTTTGGAAGTCAACTGGGTTGTAACAATGTTCAGGGTAGAAAGAGACTAGGGTTATGTAAAGTTGAGAATTTGACTCTAAATATTAGAAAGGAATGTGGTATCTGAAAACGAAATGTAGCAGCATTGGGATTTTATGCAAGGAAGAAATAGAAAATAGAACCTTTCAGCGCCTCACACCTAGATGCCTTACACCTAGTGCTAGGTTATATCTGGCACTTACTAGATCATGAACCATGAGTATTGCCTCGTATTTTGATATTTGGGAAATGTCTTTAGATTATCATATCATGGAAATTCAAGGAATAAAGACAGACGGATATTTTCGTTAAATAAAACTAGTACTTACATTTGGTTGTATCATTAGTTTGGAACAAATTGTGGTAGATTGATTTGGGAACACTTGCTTCTACTTCTTTTTCATGGAAAAATGAACTATATAAGGGTTTTGAGGTTCCTTCTGGTTGAAAATTTTCTTCCACGGGAATGCAGCTTTTGAGAAGGTGGCTGGCTCATTTTGAAAACTGTTATCACTTACCAGCATTTTGGTTTAATGATAAACACAATAGTAACGACAATTATATTCATGATGGTGTTCAATTTGGTACTGCATATGCCCACCTTTCGCAGTACTTTAATAATTCCATTTACCAAAATATTTCTGCAGGTACTTTTATTGCTCACAAAAGTTTCTTATTCATCTTTTAAACAGTTGACTCTCGAGCCTGGTCAATATTCCCCTTACAGCAACTGGTTAAAGTTAAGCTGTGGTCATTAGATTCTATGGAATATCCAGTTAATTAACCAACCATTGTATTAATATTAGTATGAATCATCTTCTAGTACATATATGGAAAGTATAAATCAAGTGTCCTTTTATCGTTATTAACTATATGTATTAATTGAGTTTGATAGTATGTTTATCATCATTTTATATACATGACAGGTATGCTCAAAATGGAATGTCCGATGAAGCAATGGTGCTTTTTGATGACATGAAAGAGAGAGGTGTTAATCCTGACAAAATTACTTTGGTTGGAATGTTGTCTGCATGTGCCTCGATCGGTGCCCTAGATTTGGGGAGATGGATTGACATATATGCATCCGAAAGGGGCATACAACAGGACATTTATGTCGGCACTGCATTAATTGACATGTATGCGAAGTGTGGGAGTTTAGCCAATGCACTAAGAGTTTTTGAAGATATGCCCCAGAAAAATGAGGTCTCATGGAATACCATGATATCTGCCCTTGCTTTCCATGGGAGAGCACATGAAGCAATATCCCTATTCAAGAGCATGACAGAAGGTGCTGGGGCTACTCGGCCAAATGACATCACATTTGTGGGAGTGCTTTCTGCATGTGTACATGTTGGATTAGTGGATGAGGGCCGTCAATTTTTTAATTTGATGAGCTCGTCATTTGGGCTGGTCCCGAAAGTAGAGCATTACTCTTGCCTGGTTGACCTTTTGTCACGTGCAGGACTTGTACATGAAGCTTGGGACTTCATTAAGAAAATGCCTGAAAAACCAGATGAAGTTGTACTGGGGGCATTGCTTGGTGCCTGTAAGAAATGTAAAAATGTAGATGTCACTAAGCAGGTAGTGCAGCTGCTTCTCGAATTAGAGCCTTCAAACTCAGGAAACTATGTTATCTCATCAAAGATATACGCAAATTTAAAAATGTGGGATGAGTCAGCAAAGATGAGAGTGTTGATGAAACAGAGGGGTGTCAGCAAGACTCCTGGTTGTAGCTGGATTGGGAATGAGCATCAACTTCATGAGTTTCACTCGGGTGATGGTTCAATAGAAATTCTTCATTTACTTAAGTTATTATACGAGGATCTGAAGAATGAAGGTTACATTCCAAACATTAATTCTGTCTAGAGAAACAAGGTTCAACCACTTTCTATGCATTTGGATCTTATCAACCAAACGACAAGGTTATAATATGAGTTGCCTGCCAGGTTGGTGAATTCAAGCAATGTTCATCTGTCTTCTGGAAATTTTAGCGACCTTTTTAGGGTGTAAAATTTGTCTGATGTCTGGTCTGCGATTTATTTTTATTCAAGAATAATTCACTGATTTGTTGTACTGTTTTAACAGTAAGAATTAGGTTTAGCATTACATATGAGGGTTATTAAAACCCTTTTTCTATCACACAGTTGCTCATTGTGTTTTGGTTGTTAACTTTCAGCTTAGACTTACGGAGAAATGGATATGCTTACTGCAGCTATGGAAGATGGAATGAGACAGGCAATAAGGCATTGCATTTAAAGCTCTAAAGTGAGAATTGATGCAGTCATTTTCTTGGAGATCTTTATTTCATGTTCCTTTACCTCTTAGTTATGGAACCTTTGTTTAATACTTGCAGGTTATGTTTCCAGAATCGTTATTCTTCCCTCACAGATACTGTAGTTTAATAGGCCATGACTGAACCTAAAATGATGGTTGGTCGCAGAAATCAGCAATTGGTTGACTAGGATTTACAGGTCACTGCCCTGCAGCATTTGTACAGAGCTCTCCAAACAGATGTAATGCATGATTAAATTTCGTATTCTCATTAAATAGAAGAGGCACAAGGGAATCTTCCGAGTTTTGAGAAGCTAGCGTGGATTGACACGGTCAAAACCCTAAGCTTCGTCCTTTGAATCATAGTCATGGAGGCAGATGTCGACTACTTGATCTTAGAACCGAACTACATTCGCACTTGGGTTCTCTTTTTGCGTTTACTTACCTATTCTTTCTGTATTTTCAACCCTTGATTTACACTACATTGATTCATATTATCAACCCTTGATTAGTTTCTCAAGTCTATTTATGCATACGTAATCTCACAAATCAGAAACTTCAAATCTTGAATCCCTAAATCTCAATTCTTGACTCTCAAATGGGTATGAGTAAGCTTGGACACGGATCGGTTTGGAACGGTAGAAGGCTCTTCCGTTAACCAAATCAAAGACTTCGGTAGACCATTTCCTCTTCCGTTAATCAAACCAAATACTTCGGATCGGTTAACCTAATATTCGGTTCATATTAGTTCGATACGCCGGTAGTACCATAATAAAAACATGGGAGTTTCACTAAAACACCCAAAATGGGGTCTGAAATTATAAAAAAACCCAAGCACTATTTAAACATATAAACACACCCAAAATTCATCATTACACACACTCAAAATCCATTTATAAACACACCCAAAAAGTTGACTTTGGGGTTGATTTTTGGTGTGTTTCTATGTTTAAATAGTGCTTAGGTTTTTTTATAAATACATGTCTAAGATTGGGTTTATTTATAAATTTGTATAAAAACATACTAATAAAAATACAATTTATAATACTTTCACATAACATAAGTTCTTGAACAAATACACCAAATTATCCTTTTAAAATATAAAAATCCAATAGTCTAATTCATCCAAGTATGAAATCAAATAACTTAGTCACTATATCATTCAATATATACTCAAGATGTACTGGGAGCCGCTTGTGTTTGTTGTTTGAACATTTGAGTGTTATTTTTACTGAATTCTCTACATTTATGTAAACGATTTTGACATTTTTTTCACATTGGGTTCTTTAGTTTTTCATGCTGAATCCAACCATATAAAGAACATAAAATTTGGATCAACGGTTGGAAAGTTATAGGTAAAAAACGGAACAAAGATCGAAACTAAAAGACATATAAAATTCATAAATTCCTCTCTGACCAAAAAGTGTTACAGTACCAGGGTGATAAAGAAGTGATAGAATGATGATAAAGCAGTGATACAATGGTGATAAAGAAGTGATACATCAGTGTTAAAAGAGTGATACAAAAGGCTAATTGTATTTATCTTTGGTTTCTTGTTTTGTATTTAAATAATAGAATAAGTATAAATATCGGATCAGTACGTGTTTCCGTCGGGTTAGGAATATTGTTTCTAGTAACCAAATCAAACATCTCGGTACGGATCGGATCGGAATAATTAAAATTATAAAATAATTATTTAACCAAACCAAACCAACCAAACTGTTGGTATGGTACGGTCGGTACACGGATAATTCGGATGAGATGCCTATCCCTAGGTGTGAGGACCAACATTGTGCTCGCAGGCTGAAAGTCTAGAGGCTAGTTTGGCATTGCTGTGCTTTTAAAAAAACTACTTCTATTATGCTGCAATAATAATCTGCTGTGAAAAAAAACAGCTAGGCGTTTGGTAAACTGTATTTTAAAACTGCTGTGAATAGTTAAAGTATTTGGTAAATTTTTATCAGAAGTGCTTTTAGTGTGTATAATGACAAAGAATGACATGAAGATGAAACTGGTTATATTTTTCTTCATTCCTTTCTACTAAAAAAAAAAAAAAAAAAAAAAACCTTTCACAACCTTTTCTTTTTTTAATTTACACTTTTTTTTATCAAAAATTTAGTCTATAAAATATTATTATAATAATAAAATATACAAATATAAAAATATATATACAAAATTAAAATTAAAAACACCACCCCATCTCTCTCTCTCTCTCTCTCTCTCTCTCTCTCTCTCTCCTCTCTCTCTCTCTCTCTCTCCCCTATTCTCTTCGCCGTCACCTCAAAACACCCCAAAAAAAAAATCCAGATCAAGAATTTTAAAACTAAAAACTCAATCCAAACCTAGATCAAGAGAGCTTTGAGTTCATGGTCCTTTGCTCTATGTATGTGAGTGGATTGTAAGATTGGATTTTATTTTGGTGGGAAGCTGGTTTGATTTTCTTTGGCTGGACATGATGGAATGGGGAAGCTGGGGTTTGGATCTTTTGTGGTTGCATGTAGGGGTGGCATTTTAAACCGAAAAATCGAAAAACCGCAAAAACCAACCGACAATTTACCGCAATGAAACCACAATCGCGGTAAACCGAACCGCATTTGCGGTATTAAGAACCGAACCACATTTGCGGTTATGGTATTTGATTTTCAAAACTTACGGTTACCGCAAATCGCAAAGTATAGCCGCACGGATGATGAGGTTGAATTATACAAGGAAATGAAACATATGACAACTTGTAAGTAATTAGTTTATTTATGCTAATGTTATTTATGCTTCTTCTTATAATAAAATGTACTAAACTATATTGTTTTATTTGTAGATAACATTGGTGCTCAAACAACACAACGGGGTTCTTCAAATCCACTCACCACCAACACTTGAGTTTGTAACATTGGTGCATTGCATTTTCCTTTTAGTTTGTAACTTTAATTAACTTTGAATTTGATTTTTCTTTTTGGTTGTAACTTTAATTCATTTTGTTTTGCATTTTCTTTTTGGTTTGTAACTTTAAAGGATTTGGAATTGGAATGCTTGAGAAGTTTAACTTTAATTGGAATGCTTGGAATTGTAACTTTAATTTTCTTAGGTTGTGAATGCTTGAGAAGTTGAGGAGATTGTGAATTTATATATGCTTGAGAAATTGAGGTTGTGTATTTATTTATTTAGGTTGTGAATTTATATTTTTGTGAATGCTTGAGAATTTGCGGTTTTAAACCGCTAATTCGCGGTAACCGACTGCAATGCGGTAAACCGCAAAACGCTGTCGGTTTGCAGTTTCAAAAATCACCAAACCGCAAATAGCGGTTTGCGGTTTGAGTAAAAATTCGCGATTACCGAACCGCAACCACCCCTAGTTGCATGGTTTGGTAGTTGGTAAAATCATTGAAGTTATGGTATATGTTTACAGAGTTATTCATTTTTTGTTTTTCTCTTGCTCTCAAATCTTAGATTTTTAACTATTCTTCAAGGTTGTAGGGGCTTCTTCTTCGCTTGAGTATGAATTCTTCTTTGATTTGATGGGGGTTCTTCTTCTCTCTCTGCATTTTTTTTTTCAAATATTTTATCTTCTTCTCCTCTGTGCATTTTGATTCGAAGAGTTGCAGATGGGAGTTGTGTAATTGGAGGGACAAGGATTGTCCATTTGAAAAGTAAGTGAGGGCATTATGGGAAAGCCAAAATTTCATTAAAACTACCGGTTAAATTTTTTTTTTAAAAGCTGCCTTCTCCCTGCTTTGGAAAACAGTGGTCACTGACCGCAATTTTTAAAAAAAGATGATTCTTGCTGTTTACGAAACACCTTAGTTTTGGAGATTTTTTTTTAAAGCTGCTTTTTAAAAAATTTAAGCACTCCCAAACGCTACCTAGATATCACTACACACCCCCACTCATGTCCCCTTACATCTTTATATGCCCTTATTCAGTGTTGAGCTCTTATTACTTGTAGGTAACGTTTTGTAAATCTCAACTTAATAACGAAGTTTTCATGTCCCCCGTTGTACCAGACACTTCCGATATTTTCGCCTGAATTCAAGGGTATTTTCGTACAAGGACGTTACCAATGGCATCCCCGAGGCTTTGGTGGGACCAGCTCCCCCTTCTTTTTATTTACAATGGACTTCTTTTGCTTTTCAAAATTCTTTATCCTATCCGCCAAAAAAAATAAAAGTATTCTTGACACCACCGTTTATGAGAAACGCAGCAGAAAGCGCCAGGTGTTTAAAACCAGAGGACCACCATATCTTTTGCTGAAGCTCCCACTATTGAATTTACTTTCAATTTTCATCTGGTCCGTGAAACTGATCTGACGGTGAACAACCCACTTGAGTTTCAACATGGGTTTCAGCCTTCAGCTTATGTGCAAGAGACAACTACGACGTGTTCTGTAACTCTTTTTTTTTTTTTTTTTTTTTTTTTTTTTTTTTTTTTTTTATAAAAAAAAGTATAGAATCAGAGAATTTTTAATTTTTTTGTGAGCAATGCTAATTAAGCTCAAAAGATATGATGTTCATACCACATTGGCTCTAGTAAGTGGAGAAACACTTATTTGAAATGGGAATAATACTATTTTGCTATTTCCAATCAATTACGATATATCACACATGATAACTTTTCCACATGATAATATGTAATTAGTTGAGAATAACAAACAGTGTTATTCCCGTTTTATACAAGTTTTTCTGCTACTAGTGGGTGTGGCCAGTGTGAATGAGTGGCCAGTGTGAATGAATTTCATCCCTAAATCGTAACCAAACCAATTAATCATTGAGCGGTACGTTTGATTTAAAATGAGTGGATAAATCAAACCAACCCACTATTGAACGGTTTGTCAATTTATGCCTAAGCTGAACACTATTTTATTATTTTTTACCCCAAAAAAAACAGTATTTTATTATTATTATTTTAGTGATTTAGTGCAATTAAAGTACAAAGTTATATTTTATTTTCTTACTTCTTATAACCCTATGAAGTAAAAATCATCACCTTAACATTCTCAACAATTGCAAGCACACATAAAGCCACCACCATTATAATTTCCGAATCTCTAGCATCCTATCAACATTCAACATTCCATCAAAGTAATAAATTAGCAGCACAATTATATATTAAAGGTGAATGTGTGGAATGAAACACAATAGTAAATAAAAGTTAAAACCAACAAGAAAATGCCTAAGAACAAAAAATAATATTAACATAGATGGTTTGGTTTGTTTAAATTGTTTACATATAAGCCAAATCAAACTAAACCAAGATTCAATTAAATTCAAGATTATACTTTTTCAATGGTGGAACTGAATGAAATTGAGTAGATTAGTTTAATTTCCTTCATTTGAACAGTTCGACCGGCTTGATGCCCGCATCTAGTTCACTCATTCAAAAATGTTTGCATATGTCAATATGTCATATTGAGTTTAATTAATAATTAGTAATTGTAATTTAATTGTAACTTTTTTTTATATATAAATACCAGATAATTGTAACTTTCTTTACTTTCCTGCTTAATATCTTAACTCTTTAAGTACGAATATAATCACCCACAAAACAAAACTTTAACACACCACTTGTCAGCACTCACACTCGGATCAGAAGTACAATAAAATTGAAGTGGCATTTACAGAAATATATACAACATGGAGGGCAAAGGTATCGAGCTGTCATATTCTCTACTTTAAGTTTTGTTTTTTTATGTTTTTCTTCTCATTTGGCTTTTGACCGTTACTTTTTTCGCAACGTCTCTCTGCTTCTCTCTCTCTCTCTCAGTGATCAAAGCTCCTTCTCTTATTCCCGCCCGCAATTACCAAGGTATACTTCTCCACTGCAATCCAGTTTGTTCATTTGTATTATTTTCTTTCTATTTGTTGTAAATTATTCGTTAGAACAATCAGCCAAAGCTCTTTTTCTTTTTTTTTTAAATAGTTTCTTGGGAAGCTGTTGTGCTTTCTTATCAGCATTTTCAGCACTAGATTTAATTTAATTTTTCAAACTACGAAATGGGTTTTCCTTTTTGAATTTCAATGTTCATGTAGGCTTGATTGGCCTTCATCCTGTTCAAATAAAACATTTGAACTTTTCTGTTTCCCAAGTTTTGCAATGGGTTCTCTGGCTTTTTGTTCATATGAGCTTTAGGTGAGCATTCAGTCACTTTAATACAAGCTGAAAAAATTAAATGGCTTCCCGTGTTTGTTGTTAGTATTAATTTGGATCTCTTCAGAAAGCATTAATGATATAAATTTCTTTGATTTCCAAGATAGAGCTTCCTTTTTTCTTATCCATTCATGATTTTAGTTATTTCCTTTTTATTTTTGAAATCTCTGTTTGTCATATCTGCATAACAACGTATTGAAATTAGTTTTCTTTTCAAAAAAGAAAGAGGAAGAAAGGGTTTCTTTTTATTTTCTCGCAAAAGTCTAAAACTTTGTTTTCCAGCTTCATATGAACAACTGAAATAAGATTTCAGAGAAGATTTTATTCAAACGTTTTGCTGTGCCCTCTCTCCTCTCTCTCTCTCTCTCCTCTCTCTCTCTCTCTCTCTCCCCTTTATCTCCTTTTGCTGTGCCCTTCTCTTATTTTCTCTGAGTCTTTTCCCTTTTCATTTCCCTCTATTTCTTGGTTTGAATTAATGTGACTGTCATCTCATCATAAAATTGTAAATTTTGGAAACCTTAACCTTTATGTGTTGTCCCAGATAATTTTTTTTTCCTTCTTAAATTAGCAAAAAAAAATTAAAATTAAAACTGAAATACTATCCCATTATACACCCAATAATGAAAGATATACGTTTCTGTTCAGGATATGGTAGGAGGTTCTTTTGCAAGTTGTTTCCTAGCCTAGTTCTATGCTTTCTTCCCCCAGCTGGACAAAAACTAGTAGCTTAATAGGCCTTTGTAGCAACCAGATTTTATGTAGTCGTATGGGGTTTTGACAGAATCTCATCTTCCTGATTGTGCAAGTTTGAGATGTTCTGAAACCTTCCTTGTGACTTGAATATAAAGAAATAAAAGTACTCAGACCTTTTCCAAGTGTTTTTAGTTCTATAGAATAATTTAAATAAGTGACATGTAGTTATTTAAAATGCAGATTATTTCCAGTTGGTTTTTCGTGCTTTGAACATGTGATTGCTCTTCATGTTGGAGTGAGGTCACTGAAGTCCTCTACTGATCAGCCTCAGAAAACCTTATGAATCTGGCGAGAAATACACAAGACTATACCCTTGTGATTTTGGTTTTGATTCAAGCCTGAAAAATTCATAGGGTGAAAGGAGAAGGTAAGAGGAAACTAGAGATGGGATGCTCTACATCAAAGCTAGATGATGTGGAAGCAGTTCAACTTTGTAAAGATCGAAAGAGATTTATTAAACAGGCTCTTGAGCAAAGAACACGATTTGCCTCTGGACACATTGCCTATATCCAGTCCCTAAAAAGAGTTTCAGCTGCTCTTCGTGATTATGTCGAAGGAGATGAGCCTCGTGAGTTCTTGTTAGAGTCATTCATAACCCCACCTTTCACACCCATTAAGAAAACAAGTCCTGGTTTTATCTCAATTTCACCAAAATCCTTCACACCTACACAAATCCAATCTGAACCCCATTCATCTGTGAAAATATGTTATCTAAGATCAGGAGGGAACCCAGCAGTTTCAGTTGAAGAGAGGCCTCAATCACCAGAAACAGCCAGAGTTGAAACTTACTCTCCAATCCACCATTTTGGGATGGATGGGTTCTTTGGAATGCAATCTTCACCAATGAATTCTTCGTTCTTCTCTTATTCCCCTAACAATAGACCCAACATCCCTCCACCTTCACCTCAAAATTCTCAATGGGATTTCTTTTGGAACCCATTTTCATCATTAGATTACTACGGTTATCCCACTCGAAGTGGTCTTGATCAGACAGTTATGGATGATGAGATTAGAGGTCTAAGGCAGGTCAGAGAAGAAGAAGGGATCCCTGACTTGGAAGAAGTTGAGACTGAACAGGAGGAATGTGATAACGAGGCAAATGTAGCACAAGAAAAGGATAAAGTTGATCTAAACTGCAACAGAGAAGAAGTTATTATTGAAGATGTTAATGAGGAAGAGGAGGAAGAGGAGGAGGAAATGGATAGCGGAACTGAAATTGAGCATGATGCAAAAATGCCATCGCATAGTAGTGTGAGTATAGAGGTGTCAAGATCTCAGAATACAAGACAAGTTGAAACTAGTAACCAAGCAACCGCTGTTGGTCACAGGGAAGCTAAGGAGGAAACGCCAGGCTTTACTGTTTATGTAGACCAAAGGCCAACAAGTATGGCAGAAGTTATCAAGGTTTTAGAAACTCAGTTCATGATTGTTTGCAATGCAGCCAATGAGGTCTCAGCATTGTTAGAGGCCGGTAGAGCAGAGTACTCGTCAACCTCCAACGAACTCACAGGCCAGCATTTTACTTCACCCACACTGTTATTTGTTCTTGTTATGCCCTTGGCATTTGTGCATAGTTTCCATCAGATGGCTGTTTTAGGGCGTTGGTCATGATATGGCTGTGGAAGGCATGCTTCCAAATGCCCTCCAGGCACAAGGATAAGTATCCTCTCTACCAAATTGAACAAGTTGGTCTTCCGAATGAACAACCTGATGGAATCTCCAAATTGAGAGGATCCTAATCCTCTCTTTGCCACTGACTGAAGTCCACCATAAATCATATGCATGTTCACAAAGTATAACAAACTGTTGAGATTCACAAAACTCATAGGTTAACTAACAAAATGTATTGTTGTATGATATGAGGGGACATGTAGGAAACATGATAGCCAATTTATACACTAGATAATAACCTACTTTTGTCAATCATTTATTTAATTTTCAAGAAGCAAAAGTGAAAGACATTTCGGAATCTTGCAATCACAAAATCTTCCAAGACTTGTCCAATTAATTTTTCAATACATAAATGAGGGAAGCCTACTTTCACAAGAATATATATTGTGATTTTACAAACATAGGGATAACAGATTACATACAGATAATAAATAAAATATGCAGACAACAGATTAGATCTTGTCCTATCTGCTACCTTGTATGTCAATATGCAGTCCAGGGAGGTCAATGTTTCATCAAATCAACTCTTCATTTTCGTTTTCTTATTTTCTTTGAACTTTCAGGTTATTATATAGTAAGTACTTTGTTGTTGCAGCCATGAAAATGTTGAACCCAGTAGCTTTATTTCGCACAGCTTCTTCTCGCTCAGCCTCTTCCAGATATTTACTGAATCTTCGTGCTCTAAAGATGAAGGCTATGAAAGCAGTAGTGACATCTCAGAGGCCGCCCTGCATGTTTTAGGTGTCCCACTCACCATGGCTAGCTTCTTGCTTGGGGAAGAAACTCTTAGAGGCAGTCGGTTACTTCGCAACTCTCCCACATACTTTTTACGTATTGCACACTCGACCTGCTTGTGTCCAACCAAAATACTGGTAGACACTCTGTCCAATGGACTTCACTCATCTAGTTTGTATGTCTGTTACATTCTGCTCTAATATGTGTTGCCTATGTTAACCCTCCAGGAAAACCAGACCACTTTTCATCTGTTCGTCCGCCAGTCCTTCTCCCGTCGGAGGGGGGAAAAAAAAAAAAAAAAAAAAAAAAAAAAAAAAAAAAAAAAAAAAAAAAAAAAAAAAAAAAAAAAAAAAAAAAAAAAAAAAAAAAAAAAAAAAAAAAAAAAAAAAAAAAAAAAAAAAAAAAAAAAAAAAAAAAAAAAAAAAAAAAAAAAAAAAAAAAAAAAAAAAAAAAAAAAAAAAAAAAAAAAAAAAAAAAAAAAAAAAAAAAAAAAAAAAAAAAAAAAAAAAAAAAAAAAAAAAAAAAAAAAAAAAAAAAAAAAAAAAAAAAAAAAAAAAAAAAAAAAAAAAAAAAAAAAAAAAAAAAAAAAAAAAAAAAAAAAAAAAAAAAAAAAAAAAAAAAAAAAAAAAAAAAAAAAAAAAAAAAAAAAAAAAAAAAAAAAAAAAAAAAAAAATCTTTGATTTCCAGATAGAGCTTCCTTTTTTCTTATCCAGTCATGATTTTAGGTTATTTCCCTTTTTATTTTTGAAAATCTTCTGTTTGTCATACAACTAGTTTTCTTTTCAAAAAGAAAGAGGAAGAAAGGGTTTCTTTTTATTTTCTCGGCAAAAGTCTAAAACTTCTTCATATGAACACTGACAGAGAAGATTTTATCAAACGTTTTGCTGTGCCTCTCTCTCCTCTCTTCTCTCGCCTCTCTCCTCTCTCTTTATCTCCCTTTCTCTGTTCCCTTCTCTTATTTTCTCTGAGTCTTTTCCCTTTTCATTTTCCCTCTATTTCTTGGTTTGAATTAATGTGACTGTCATCTCATCATAAAATTGTAAATTTTGGAAACCTTAACCTTTATGTGTTGTCCCAGATAATTTTTTTCCTTCTTAAATTAGCAAAAAAAAAAATAAAATTAAAACTGAAATACTATCCCATTATACACCAATAATGAAAGATATACGTTTCTGTTCAGGATATGGTAGGAGGTTCTTTTGCAAGTTGTTTCCTAGCCTAGTTCTATGCTTTCTTCCCCAGCTGGACAAAAACTTAGTAGCTTAATAGGCCTTTGTAGCAACCAGGATTTTATGTAGTCGTATGGGGTTTTGACAGAATCTCATCTTCCTGATTGTGCAAGTTTGAGATGTTCTGAAACCTTCCTTGTGACTTGAATATAAAGAAAATAAAAGTACTCAGACCTTTTCCAAGTGTTTTTAGTTCTATAGAATAATTTAAATAAGTGACAATGTAGTTATTTAAAATGCAGATTATTTCCAGTTGGTTTTCGTGCTTTGAACATGTGATTGCTCTTCATGTTGGAGTGAGGTCACTGAAGTCCTCTACTGATCAGCCTCAGAAAACCTTATGAATCTGGCGAGAAATACACAAGACTACCCTTGTGATTTTGGTTTTGATTCAAGCCTGAAAAATTCATAGGGTGAAAGGAGAAGGTAAGAGGAAACTAGAGATGGGATGCTCTACATCAAAGCTAGATGATGTGGAAGCAGTTCAACTTTGTAAAGATCGAAAGAGATTTATTAAACAGGCTCTTGACAAAGAACACGATTTGCCTCTGGACACATTGCCTATATCCAGTCCCTAAAAAAGAGTTTCAGCTGCTCTTCGTGATTATGTCGAAGGAGATGAGCCTCGTAGTTCTTGTTAGAGTCCATTCATAACCCCACCTTTCACACCCATTAAGAAAACAGTCCTGGTTTTATCTCAATTTCACCAAAATCCTTCACACCTACACAAATCCAATCTGAACCCCATTCATCTGTGAAAATATGTTATCTAAGATCAGGAGGGAACCCAGCAGTTTCAGTTGAAGAGAGGCCTCAATCACCAGAAACAGCCAGAGTTGAAACTTACTCTCCAATCCACCATTTTGGGATGGATGGGTTCTTTGGAATGCAATCTTCACCCAATGAATTCTTCGTTCTTCTCTTATTCCCCTAACAATAGACCCACATCCCTCCACCTTCACTCAAATTCTCAATGGGTTTCTTTTGGAACCCATTTTCATCATTAGATTACTACGGTTATCCCACTCGAGTGGTCTTGATCAGACAGTTATGGATGATGAGATTAGAGTCTAAGGCAGGTCAAGAGAAGAAGAAGGGATCCCTGACTTGGAAGAAGTTGAGACTGAACAGAGGAATGTGATAACGAGGCAAATGTAGCACAAGAAAGGATAAGTTGATCTAAACTGCACAGAGAAGAAGTTATTATTGAAGATGTTAAGAAGAAGAGGAAGAGGAGGAGGAAATGGATAGCGGAACTGAAATTGAGCATGATGCAAAAATGCCATCGCATGTAGTGTGAGTATAGAGGTGTCAAGATCTCAGATACAGACAAGTTGAAACTAGTAACCAAGCAACCGCTGTTGGTCACAGGGAAGCTAAGGAGAAACGCCAGGCTTTACTGTTTATGTAGACCAAAGGCCAACAAGTATGGCAGAAGTTATCAAGGTTTTAGAAACTCAGTTCATGATTGTTTGCAATGCAGCCAATGAGGTCTCAGCATTGTTAGAGGCCGGTAGAGCAGAGTACTCGTCAACCTCCAACGAACTCACAGCCACATTTTTACTTCACCCACACTGTTATTTGTTCTTGTTATGCCCTTGGCATTTGTGCATAGTTTCCATCAGATGGCTGTTTAGGCGTTGGTCATGATATGGCTGTGGAAGGCATGCTTCCAAATGCCTCCAGGCACAAGGATAAGTATCCTCTCTACCAAATTGAACAAGTTGGTCTTCCGAATGAACAACCTGATGGAATCTCCAAATTGAGAGGATCCTAATCCTCTCTTTGCCACTGACTGAAGTCCCCCATAAATCATATGCATGTTCCACAAAGTATACAAACTGTTGAGATTCACAAAACTCATAGGTTAACTAACAAAATGTATTGTTGTATGATATGAGGGGACATGTAGGAAACATGATGCCAATTTATACACTAGATAATAACCTACTTTTGTCAATCATTTATTTAATTTTCAAGAAGCAAAAGTGAAAGACATTTCGGATCTTGCAATCACAAAATCTTCCAAGACTTGTCCAATTAATTTTTCAATACATAAATGAGGGAAGCCTACTTTCACAAGAATAATATTGTGATTTTACAAACATAGGGATAACAGATTACATACGATAATAAATAAAATATGCAGACAACAGATTAGATCTTGTCCTATCTGCTACCTTGTATGTCAATATGCAGTCCAGGGAGGTCAATGTTTCATCAAATCAACTCTTCATTTTCGTTTTCCTTATTTTCTTTGAACGTTCAGGTTATTATATAGTAGTACTTTGTTGTTGCAGCCATGAAATGTTGAACCCAGTAGCTTTATTTCGCACAGCTTCTTCTCGCTCAGCCTCTTCCAGATATTTACTGAATTCTTCGTGCTCTAAAGATGAAGGCTATGAAAGCAGTAGTGACATCTCAGAGGAGCCCTGCATGTTTTCAGGTAGTCACCAATCAACATTGGATAGATTATATGCTTGGGAGAAGAAACTCTATGAGGAAGTCAAGGTATAATTCTAAACTCTACCACATACTTTTTACTTATTGCAAATAGCACCTGCTTGTGTTACAAAAAATACTTGAATCGTCAAATGGAATTCTCTATGTTTTGTATGCATATGTTACAGTTCATGATATAAATATGTGTTGCCTTATGCTTAAACAAAAAGGAAAATATGAAAAATTGATCTGTGCATCACTACTTACAGTCTGGAGAAAAGGCTCGGATTGCATACGAAAAGAAATTGACGCATCTCCGGAACCAAGATGTAAAAGGAGATGACTATTCTGCATTAGAAAAAACAAGGGCAGCCATTAGAGATCTGCATACTCAGATGAAGGTTTCAATACATTCAGTTGAAGCTATTTCAAACAGGATTGAGACCTTGAGGGATGAAGAATTGCAGCCTCAACTTTCAGAACTGGTACAAGGGTATGGACCTTAGCTCTTTATCAACCGTAGCTAAAATATGTGCGCATCTTTTTTCCATGCATAGAAATTAGCTTTGAAGCTGACTGCATGGCAGCATATGAGCTCACACCATGCTTTAAGTATTTATCCCTATATATTAATTAATTAATTAATAATTAACTCCAGGTTAGCAAGGATGTGGAAAGTAATGGCAGAGTGTCATCGGTCACAGAAACGAAGCCTAGATGAAGCCAAGGTTTTACTAGCAGGCACGCCTTCAAAACTGGAAGCTAAAAGACACTCTTCCATTTCAATTACTGATCCAAACCGGCTAGCACGTTCAGCTGCCAATCTTGAGACAGAGCTGAGGAATTGGAGAGCTTATTTTGAGTCATGGATCGCTTCTCAACGATCCTATGTGCATGCCTTAACAGGGTGGCTGCTCCGTTGCATGAGGGCTGATCCTGATACATCGAAGTTGCCACTCTCTCCCCGTCGCTCAAATGGTGCTCTTCCAATATTTGGAATTTGCATCCAATGGTCAAGGTTTCTGGATGCCATACATGAGACACCGGTGCTGGATGGACTAGATTTTTTTGCAGCCGGTATGGGGTCCCTCTATGCACAACAGCTTAGAGAGGATTCACGTCATGTTAGGGTAGGTTCAAAGAGATTTGGAGCTGGAACACCAGATGAATTTAGTGGGGATATGAAAATTGTGGAGGTCGGTCAAGTTGAACAAGTAATGACTGCAGATAAAATGGCTGAGGTTGCTATAAGGGTACTTTGTGCTGGAATGTCAGTTACTACGAGCTCACTGACAGAGTTTTCTATTGCTTCTGCTGATGGATATGCCGAACTTGTGAATCAATGGGACAACGCCAAGGCTTAGAGCTGCAATGTAGTTCTCTGATGTTTATGGGGTAGTTTAGTGATTAATGGATGTCAATGTAATTATAAATTAATCTATTTTGAATATTAGCATAGAGTTTTTGCCACCTTATCCCTTTTAGCTAGTGCCTGAATCCTGATATAGTTGTGACTTCGCTAGAAGAGTAGAAAAAGAACATTAATTATAACATTTCGTCACAGGAAAGATAATCTGTACGTGCCAGGGTTCAGATCTCTATTCATTGCTTTGGTAATAAAAGTTAGTCAGTAACATGCTTGGTTTAAAACCTCAGCAAAGTACTCAAAACATAAAGGATCAACACCACCACCACCACTGAACTACAAATCCGCTAGTGCAATTCTTTCTTTCATTTTCTAGGAACCTCCACGTGCGAGGAGTTGCAAGACCCTAGTTCATTTGGACACAAAATGAGGTTCCTAGTCAAATCAGCCACCGGCACCAGATGTTCAAATCCCTAATGCGGGTGCTCAAACACGACTGGCTAGACGTCAAGCAGATTAATATGGCATAATGCTCTTCCAACCTAGCACAATGTCTTCTGTCAAAATACACCCCCCTGATGGGATGGGTTCTAGTCTTACCATTGTGCTTCCTTTTCAAGAAATCCCCATATCAACCAAGAACTTCTATTGAATAACAGCATTACAACCATAATCAATAATCAAGTTCCAAGATTTGTGTATCAGGACCATATTCCATGAAATCATTCAGAAAAATGAAGCCCAAGAGGGCCAAGACCTATAAGTATGAAGTTGCATCTTGGTCCAACCCTTGAACAATTCAAATTGAACAAAATTTACACACTGTCAACATTGTTTCAACAGTCAAACATTGGAATCTTACAGGTTAGGAGAATATCTTTCAAGCCCCAAAGTCTACGTTTCTAACTCGATCTTTCCAATAAATCATATCATGTAATTATAAAGGTGCTTATTTTCCAAAATTTCCATCCATATCATACTACAAAAATGAAAGAACGGGATTACTGAAAAAATCTTCCTCATCAGGCTGCTAACCCTGGCTGGTTTTTGTGCAAAAAAATGCTGTTGTTGAGAATATAACTCAGAAAGATAAACCTTTTTTTTTCCTAATCATTTACTCATATCCTTCATCATCATCAAGCTCAATTTCAGCATCATCCGCTCGGGCCATGAGAGTGACGAAAAGTACAACTGAAACCAGCTGTGCTACCAAAAAATATTTGGACCTTCTCTTAAAACTTTTCTCCTCCTTTGTTTTTTCCCTTTTGGGTTTGCTCTTGGGCTTAGAACCTGAAAAATAAAATAAGCATAAGAGAATTGCATTCAGGATAATTAAGTTTCTACTGATAAAAGAATATCACATATAGGACTAAAATAATTAAACAAAATTCAATCACATAAACTTCATATACACAAAAGGTCAAATTATATATTAGCTCCTGAAGAACTACAATTTACCTTTCGTGACCTATCTATATTTTAGATGATATATATCACCCATGTACCGGTTTGTAAGCTCTAACATTAGTGATGCAAGAAAGAGGAATCTGGTCTCACATGACCTCAGATTGCAAACTGCAGCTTCCAGTTAAAGAGAGACCTAATTGGAATCTCATTCGTGTTTTATACACTCAAAACTAAAATACTACTTTTCTGAAAGCAACAACAGGGTGTTGAAAACTGCTAGTGTGCAAGCCAAGTCTAATCCCAAATTTTCCAGGATACGAAACAATTCCACTCAAGAAACAAAAATAGAGGGAATTGATCTGGTTTGGTAAAAGCAAAAAATCCAATACATTATACCGTCCAAAGGAATAAATACAGATATACGAGTCTTGAATATGAAAGTATCTCACTCCAATTTGAAGGACTTCTTCTAGGAGCTGCTGATGAAGGGTAGTCTGGGACTGAAGATGAAGAACCTGCATCCACGAACTCCGTCTTAAGCCTATCAACATACCTAACAAGGTTTTCATGTTCTAAAAGCTTGCTCCGCAGCACTGATGTTTCCTAACAGCACAAAATTTCAAGAAGCAGGGTTAACAAAACTCCTTAAACTAAAAAGATTCGACAAAATCTGGTATACAACTTGGTGTAGCACATAGGCCAAGTTCATTCAGTAAAAACTAATATATTGAAGAATAATATTAAAAACAAGTTTGGATTCATCTCTGCAATATTGCAAGATCAAATTTCATATAACTCATGATTATCAAAATAAGCAATCATGCATGATGACAAAACAAAATCAGGAACCAACTCCAACTAAAATCATGTACATAATCTCACATCTAAAAGGTGATCCAATGTCACATAGAAAACATGCTAATGCATGAATAAAGTGAGAAAGCATTAAAGCAGGGAAATAAAAGAAAACAAAATATTAACACCAGTGTGCCCTCATAGCATTTCCGTGTGTTATAATTAACATAGCACAGTAGCAATAGATGTAATTTTAAACTTGATATTTTGTACACAACAATATGTTGCAAATAGTAGGAATGCTATAATTACTTACTAAAAGTGCCAACACATTGTTTAAGTGTTAAGGACAACATAATAAAAGGGCATGATACTTGAAAAACTAGGTGCTTAGAGTAATTATATAATGTCCAGATCAAAAAAAATAATAAGTAACTATATAACGATATCAGTAAATCTGAAAGGAGAAGGGAGGATGGAAAGCATAATTCCAGTTGAGAGATGAACAATGAAGCTATAAATCAAGCACCGGGAAACTAAATTGAAAAGCTGCAAACTTGATTCCTACGCTTTGCTAACTAAAAAGTTCAAATTGGGGCCAAAATATGCGCACAGAACACTAAAATCTGAGTGCGGTTCAGAACCAGTATCATCTTTCTTTAGTTTAAATTTGCTATTTAGTTCAAGCGGTTGGATTTTGTCAACAAGAACTGTGTCATTTATACACAGCAGCACATTTTTCTAAGCTCAAAATGTTCAGTCAGAGTTCCAGACCAGATACAAAAGGATATATGTATAAAGCCAATTTTCCCGTTTTGCTTGTTGACAGTTCAACTTGAACCCAAGCCTTTTAGACAAAAATCTTAATCTCACTGGCCCAAGAAAAATAAACCAATATTTTGAGGTTGAATCATAAAAGATACCGGTAAACAAAGTTTCACAAAATGTAAAGCAGAAGAATTCTGTTTCCCAGTGTAATACATATTTTATTGACAGTCCCAACAAAAAAAGTAGCTTATAAAATAAATACATGTACAGTATGTTTATTCTTTGTATTGTAAGTCACAATCCAGAAACCATTACCAAAAAGAGATAATAGAAGTCCTGTTTCCAATCTATCAACATCCTCTGATTGTTGTTTGAAAAAATTATCTTTAGGCTTTATCAATTGTTTTTTTGAAAATGATCTGGCTTTATCATAATATTCATTTCATGGAAGTATAAATGTCTTTAAATTTAAACAACACTAATGAGTTAGAAGCATTAGAATTTACACAATGTTTCTTTTCAAAAGAGTTTAAAAGCTTAAAATAATTACTAAGCTCATATAGAAAACGGTGCAAATCATAATTTTCAAGGTCATGAAATGATGCAGAATTAAACATGGCGTGCATCTTATTTTACTTTTATTTCCCATTCAAGCAATTAATACTCTATGAGTTTATATGGATTACTCATCCACACGGAAAGCTCAAAATTCTATCCGGAAACTGAACTTCTTACAAGATTCAAACTATTTTATTGATAAAGTTTAATGTAAATGGTTCTTAACTGCTAATATAAACTTCTCCTCTCTTTGTCTGCAAATAAATAAAATGACTTACTGGTAATGCTTGAAGAGTGATAAGTGCCTGCCCAAGAAAGAGTGCATCCAAACTTGATGGCCTGCACAAAAGGAACGATGCAGGTGGATACACAATCAGCAGGTGAGTATTAATTGTTACGTTGCATGTAAAAGGATATTAAAACAAAAGAAAGAAAGTTGAGCAATAACAAGAAGTTCTAAGGACTTCATTATAAAAGGAAATGGAGTATTGATGCGATAGAAAAGCACCTGTTTTCAAATAAAAAGTTATGTTCCTCCAACCTGCTTGACAGGGCTCCAAATGCAAGGCTGGCTCTCTTGTATGTCTGTCCATCAATTTTTCAGATCAATAAAAATATTGTTTCAATAATATACATAACAGTGAACAAAAAAAACATATAAAATAACTGCTAGGAGAGAGAGAGAGGGAGAGAGAGAGAGAGGAGAGGAGAGAGAGAGAGAGAGAGAGAGCTAGAGAGAGAGAATTATTACTTAACACAAAGTAGTAAGGAAAAGGAAAAAAAAAACCTGTTCTTCTATTTCTCAGAATTGTCTTTGGTAATCCCAAGTTCTGCTTTACTTTGTGCAGTTGCTTTAAGAATAGAATCTTTCCAATTGGCCATGGGAGATCAGAATAATATATCGTTTCGGCAGAACTACCATCTGTTCCCAACCAGAGTTCATACTTGATTGCATCAGCAAGCCAGGAGCTAATCATTGCCTTTGTAGATATCCATTCCGGAACTGAGTGAAGTTCAGTGTCCAAATCAGCAATGCGATCTTCTTTCAGTCTTTCGATAATGCCACCCTTCTCATTATTATAAGTCACGTACTCACCAGATTCAATATAAGGGATTTTATCTAAAACAAAAGCCACAGTCAATATCATCATTTTCGTCCACTTGTAAGATGTGTGCACACACTCACACTGTACTCAAATGTAAATGAAAAATTAAATTTGAAGCTTTTATTGCTACAACAACAGAGCTTAATCCTATAAATAAACTCATTATTATACAAATTCAAATATAATAAGCAGGTGCAAAAAGCATACTGCCTATGCTGATCAAGGCTCCTGCACAGACGTGGAAACAACACCTCTAGGAACCCTTGTCCAATAAAATTAGATCTGCCTAACAAAGAAACCCATTTAAACTGATACCAAACCCACAAAATCCTTTTTTTTTTAAGCAACACACATCCCAACCGTACTGCTAATGCATAACAGATACCATCCAAAAAAACCAAGATATAAGCTCAATTCACAATAATATATAAGAAATTTGAATGAAAAACTTCAAATTAGTAGCAGATGGGAATTAGGAACTTCACATCCAAGAAACAACAAAAAACCCATATATTATGGAATTATCAACCCAATGCATAAAATCAGTCCCCAAAAAACCTCAATGCATAAAACAAACAAGAACCAAATGTCCAATAAGACCTCCTGGAAAAATCTGACTACCAAAATGCCAAACCCTACTAAAACCCAACCATAAAATTCTCAGAAAACGAAAGATAAACAAGAAGATGCAGAGAAAGCGTTGATACCAGAGTCAGGGTAGGTAAGATTGTAATCCAAGTGAAAGGGAACATTAGCAAACTTGAGGTAGAAGAAGACCGGCAAGCATGAAGGGCAAGCAGTAGGCAAGCCAAAACAGGGCTTCCTCACCACGAGAGTGTACTCGTCCATAAAACCTACGAAACCCACTTGGGGCGTTGCCTTTCTGAGCTCAAGTCCACAATCAAAGTAGGGTTTTTTCTCGATGGAGGGTCTTGCACAAAGAGACAGGGACGCGTAACGCAGACGCAGGGGGGTTTTCTTGGGGGTTTTGGAAATTGGGTCTCTGTTAGCCCTTTGTTTCACAAATGGGTCATGGAGTCTAAAACGGGTCGGATCCGAGTCGATCCCAAATTAAAATGGGTCAAGGCCCAATGGCATGAATTATTATTATTTTTGTTAAATATATTTTGTTTGGCAGAAATAAATGGTGAGCTTGACGACAAAGGACTAATCAGACGAATGTAGGCACGTTTATCGCTCATGTACAGAGTTTGTCAAACTCATGCAGTATACAATTACTCTTTGTATTTTAAATATAATTAAGATAATATATATTTCTTGATTAGATAACTTAATACGTTTCAAATTAACACACGAATATATTCATATAAGAAGTAGCGTCCACGAAACAATTCTTTTTATATTCAAAACCTTCACACAAATGTTGCTTGCGAAATAAAAATGATGTATCATATGTGTTTTCAATTGGAGAGTATTCCAATAATAATAATAATAATAAAAGATTAAAGAGTTTTATTCAAATTCTTCAAACACCTAATACACATTTATTAGACCGAAAAAAAAACACACACATAAGCACGTTTCTAGAGTAAATAAGATTTATAACGATATCACTTCCTAATTTTCATAATTGATATGATGTTTCTTCTATTCAAATTCGCGATGTTTAGTTTTCTATTGAATTATTAATTCAATGCATACCCTTAATTCTAAAACAACGTCATTGTGGATGCAAGAACATTATAAACACACAAGAATCAGCATCTCACTAATGGCACTCCTTTTAATTCTCTAAGAAAATATGATAGTTAAATACAATAGTATAATAATGATGTAGACTTTATCTTCTTTTGTACGTCACCAGTTATGCAAGATGTAGACGATCATTAAAAAAATGGAAGATACCATTTCCTTTTTCTGCTTACATACGCAAGGTAGCATATGCAAAAGCAACATGCAATTTAGCATACATTCTTGTTTGTCCATTTTGATTTGCCGTTAAAGTCAACCAAACCCAAAGGCTCATATCCCCAATAATAGTAGTGTTTTTACTTTTGTTTATTATTTTTATACAAGCGATAATAAGAGGGGGATTCGAATACGAACTTGAGTGGAGAGTGGAAAACACATTCATTCTAATCAACTTGGCTAAGCCCGTGTTTAATGTTTGTAGTAGTGTTTTTACTTTATTCACCTGGAGTTTGGGTTTTACTCTCCTTTCAGTTAAAATCGAAATTAAAAGATGAAAAAATAAAATAAAAAACCCGAAAAGGAAGTAAATTTTAAAAGAGAATTTGAAGTGAAACAGAGCAAAAACCTTATCTGGACTGGAATTAGCGCTTTTTCTTCGGTTTAAAGAAACAGAGCTTTAAATAGCAAATACCCGCTGAATTGAGCCAAATACATCATTTTTAGTAGACCCACAGACGGACCATCACATCCCTCTCTCTCTCTCTCTCTCTCTCTCTCCGAAGAGAATCTAGGGTTTGTTTTGAACAGTGAATCTTTTGCATCAGCTGGTGGTGGTAAGGGAATCTATAACGTTTTACTCAAACTTTGCTGTGACAAAAAAAGGTCCACCTAGGGTTCCCAAAACTCAAACTGTCTTTGTTTCTTTATCTCTCTGTGTTGCTCCTGTCGTTTCCAATACTTTGGTACTCTGTTCTGACCGTTTTGCTGTATTTGAATGCTTGAATTCTACTGGGTTTCTTTCCCTTTCCATTTCTATGTGTTTGACTGGTTGCTGCTGATAAAGTTTGTGTTTTTCATAGTTTTGGCTGTTTAGTATGCTGGGGCTTGCTGTTGTTGAAGATAATATTTGTGTCTGCCTCTGATTATCCATGTTTTTTATTGGCTTTTTTCTTGCATTTCGATTGGTTGGATAGAAATTTGGGGGAAGGGAAAGAGAGAGTTTTGAGTTTTATTATTATGTTGTTTTGGGTTCTTCTCAAAACTCAGGAACTCGTATTAGTTACGTCTGAAATGAAGTCTCTCTTTAGAGCTTCCTAAAGAGGCTGTTTTTGCTTTTCTTAACTTTTTTTATCGTCAAAGGGTTAATTTTTCATGTTATCTGCTGGTCTAAGCTCTCACTTGCATTGCAATGAAGTTTCATTGTTTTTTTTCTTTTTGCTGATAATTGGAAGTGAATGATAAGATTTTAAAAAAAACCACTTAATAAGAATTGTTATTAATTCTGCAATTTGGATAATACTAATGAATCTTGCCATATATTATTATTATTATTATTATTTTGGAATTTCCTCTTTTTAAAGCTGTTATGACGCCCATGTATCAATTACTTTTCAGCATATAGTGCATTTATCTTGTACAATTTGAGAAAAGTTAGAAATGAAGACCAATTATAAGTTTGAGAAATTTCTAATTCCTCTGCTTTCTTAGGACTAAATATTTTCTTTGGACATTTTAAGTTCACATGTTTCAGAAGAAAAAAAAAGGTTATAAAATAAAAATGTACTTCTTGGCATGAAAGTACTAAGTGTTCTCAGTTTAAGGAGAAATGTTAGTAAGTTTTTCTTCTAATCATATGCTGTTGAAGTACTAGGGCGCCTTCTCTCATTTCTGGTTCTTTCTATTAGCTATAGTTTATACTTAATGTCTTACTATATTTGATCTTTACTTCGTATATTTTCTTGCTATAGTCCCCCACATATTGCCTTTAATGCCCTGCATATCTTGGTTTTCTCAGGGTTCCATGTGAGGTTTCTTATACTATCATATTAAAAAGAGGGCATATTATATTCTGTTAGCATGGCGACAGAAAGTCCAATCAGAATGTCTGAAACTAGTGGAAAATGGGCTTCCCATAAGAAGGCTGCAAAAATTGCACCATCCTCTGCTAATATGGCAGCAGAGGAGTTGAAATTGCTTCTGAGGGGCCATAGGCTTCATAGCAGCGAAAATGATGCTTCCCCTAATCGAAGTGGAAGTGCACCCCCAACCATGGAGGGTTCGTTTTTATCCATTGATAACCTTCTATCCCAGCAGCACTCTAGCACGACTGGAAGCCTTGCAAGTCTAAGTAGTGTTATTGAAAGGTGTGAATCTGAGGAACAATTACTTGCTGATCCAGCTTATTTGGCATATTACTGTGCCAATGTCAATCTTAATCCTAGACTTCCTCCTCCACTTATCTCGTGGGAGAATAGACGCCTGGTACGCCATATTGGTAGTTTCAGCCAGAATTGGGGACCTGTAGATGACAGTGGTAATGCTCCGTTGCATGTGTCTCAGGGATCACTTCCTACACACAAGGAAGAATCTGAGGATGATCAGTCACCCAAACAGGTTTCTAGTGATTGGGTAGATCAGACAAGCCAAATTTGGTCTGAAAAGGATGCAGCTTCATTGGTAGGCCAACACAAAAATGTGGGTGATTTAATACAGGTTAAAAATCGATACCTTGAAATTTTATTTACCAAGGTGCATATGTTCCTATTTTTAGTTACCTTGAGAATTTCATTGAATATAATTTTTCTAGTTAGATTGTCAAGTTTTGAATCATTTTCACTTATTGACAAATGAAATAATTGTTTTATCATACTGTGAATTCCAAAGAATATTACTGCTAGCAAAACACTGGAGTTGATGTGGAATAAGTAATGACTGATTGCTTTTAGCTTGCTTTCATTACAATGTCATGGTTGTAAATGCAAAAACATCTTTTATTTCCAGGAAGATTTTGGTGGCTCTCCACAACCTGTATATAATCACTCTCGTACCTTAGGCAATGAAATACCTGAGGAATTCATTGATCAAAGACCTGTTTCCAGTTCCTTGCATGATCCCCCTATTAATGTGACAGCTGCCATTAGGACCAACATGGTTGCAACTTCTGCAGATAATACAGTACTTTCACTAAATGATGATTCCTCACCAGCCCCTATTGCAAGTTCTTCATCTCTTGATTTTACCAGGACTACAGGGATTAATGATGCTGGTGTTGCAGTTATTGAATCTGAAATGAAGGCTCTTAATATATCTAACATTCTAGAGAATAAAAAAAATCAAGAACAATGGCAGCGCAGCTACCAGAATCATTTCCCGCAACACCAGATACACCAACAACAAAACAGTTTATCTCAACTTCAAAGTGGCAAGTCCCAAATAGCTTCCCAAGGAGCATACGTTGGCATGGATCAGTATCTCCAAAGCACCACCAAGTTTGCAGCGGATGTACAGCCATTACTCCAGACATCTGGGTTCACACCTCCACTATATGCAACTGCAGCAGCCTACATGAGTTCAGCTAATCCATATTATTCAAATCTTCAGGCACCGGGTGTTTTTCCTCCACAATATGTAGGTGGATATGCTTTAAACCCCACTGGCTTTCCTCCGTATATTGGTGGATACCATCCTCCAGGTGCTGTTCCTGTTGTTGTTGATGGCACTGTAGGTCCAAGCTTTAATGCTCATACATCTGGGGTTGCTACTGGTGGCAGCATTTCACCTGGTGCTGATATGCAACATTTAAGTAAGTTCTATGGGCAACTTGGCTTTCCACTGCAAACTTCTTTTTCCGATCCTATGTACATGCAGTACCATCAACAACCTTTTGTGGAGTCATATGGTGTTTCTAGCCAATTTGATTCATTGGCATCTAGAGGTGGCCTTGACTCAAAGAAAGTGTCCAATCATGCTACTTATTTGGATGACCACAAAATCCAACAACAGAGAAATGGAAGCCTGGGGAATTTGAACCCACAAAGAGGAGGGCCAGTGAGTCCCAACTATTTTGGAAGTGCACCAAATGTTGGTATTTTGATGCAGTATCCAACCTCACCCCTTAGTGGTCCAGTGTTGCCAGTATCCCCCATAAGTTCCGGTAGAAATACTGGCTTGTATTCCGGATGGCCAGGGCAAAGAGG